GCCGGAGTTCTGATGCTATAGCCATAATCTTGTGAGAACTGCTTCACTTATGGGTCAGAATTTTTCTTTAATGTAGCATGAGGGAATAGATTGAAACAATCTCTAAATCACTCTGGTTTTAAAGTTCAGTGATTCTGTAATTTTCCAGTAGGTTATGGTCCTCAGGATAATCTTAAAATCATCTATGCTGATGCAAGTGAAAATGTTCTTCAGTAACATTTTATTTCTTTAAATAGTAGCCAGTAGTTCTATGTCTGGTTCTTTGCAGCTTTCTCAAATAAAGGGCAAAATATAGAAACATATGCCCTTGCTTTGCCATCCTACCATTTGCCTCATGTAGCCATCACATAGATCTAATGCAAACATAACTTTCAATTATTAAAATAGCACATGGCATTAAATATGTGTTGAAGTCAACCTTATTAAAAATAGCTGCAGAGGGTTTTTTATTTTTATTGCTTTTTTTTTTTTCATCTTTACATAATCATGGAGTATAGTATCCATACTGAGTTCATAATCCTTTTCCTAAGGCTCCTCTCCTACTACGATTAATTTTTTTTTTTTTTTTTTTAAATCTGTTCCCTGCCTGAATTGTTCCATAAGGGCTTTCCTGTTACACCTGCGGGGCTGTCTGTGCAAGTGTGTGGGAGGAGGTGCAGGAGGTGGACACTAGCAAGGCACTCTGTTCTGGGCTGTTCTGAGAGGTTCAGGCCTTTACAAGGAAAGCTTTGATTCTATTTTTTGCTGAACTAGCTCAGCCACTTCCTGTGTTTGGCTGCGCATAGTGCCTCGCTTCACTGCCGGCTACTTGAGCCCTGTGAGCGCTGCGGCAGCCAGTCACAGAGACTATATTAGGTCCCCTCACAATGGCCTTCTCATTTCCTCGGCTAAAATGAGCAAGTTGGTCTTGCATCGGCCACTTGTTAGCCGATGATAACTTTGACTTTGACTTCGACTCCCCTCCCCCACCCAAAATCCCTAGCTCAGCAAATATTTGAACCTGCCCAAGTTAATCATGAAGCTGCGATCTTTATCTAAGAGAGACGTGCGAGCGGCTGGGCCTTTTCCCTCCCCAGTACAGTACCGAACTCGAGTGAGTTTCTCAATGGGGAGCCAGCAGTGAGCAGCAGCCCAGGACGCGTTGGCCGGTTCTGGTCGGGGCTGCGCGGGAGGCCGGTGGACGGAGGAGCCGAGTCCTAATTGATAGCTGGAGGATCTGCTGCCGGCGCCGTCCCCGCCCCTGCGCGCGCTCGCTGGAGGCCTTGAGAGAGCGGCCCCGCAAGCAGTCAGGGGGGAGACGAGGGGGCTTTTCCCTGTTGGTGGAATTGCTTTTTGGATTTTTTTTTCCGTTGTTGGATACAGGCATTTCAAAGGGAAACCGTTGAAATGCATAACCTGCAAAGTAAGTTGCCTTTCATTTGTGCACTTCTCAGCCCCTTCACTCTGTCTCTTTTTATAATTTTGTTTATTTCTGTAGCTTAAGTTTTGGCGTGAGTCTGTGCATGTGTGTATGTCAGTGCTGCCTGGAGAAGGGAGATGAGAGATTAGGGCAGACACTCCCTCATTTCCTGGGGGGGGGGCGTGGGGGAGGATGGGGCAGTGCCAGGGAAAGATGGGGTTCAGGTTGGAAGTTAGGGACAGAGGTAATTACAAAGTGCTTGGCTAGAAGTTGGTTCCAGGCCAGACCTTGGAGAGGGGTGGAAAATCACCTGTTTTCTGTCTTCTCCTGGGTCGCTTTGCCATATGGGCTCCAGCAGCCAGACCCTTTGCACCCAGGACTCCCAAATACACGGGAGGCTGTCTGGTTGGCTAACAGGTAGACCTGGGAGCAACTGCTGGGAGGACCTGTCTCCTTGTCCTTTATGGAGAGGGTCAACATTTTTACTGTGCTAAGAAAATTTTACTTTTTCCCTGAATTGTATTGGGGACGAACCTTCTCATCTACCACTTTTACCATTTTTATTTGCATTTGAGTTTAGGTTTACCTAAACCCTTAGGTAGATAGAAAAGTGTGGGAGTGAGAAAGGATGGAGGGGATGGGGTGAGTTTCTCTTTCCGGTTAATGGAAAGAGAAATTAAACTAGAGGGGGATACAGGTAAACAGTGCTTAGAGATCTTGCCTTAGGGCTAATTCTTTATGATCCAAAATTTGATAGAAAGTGTAGGAGAATATATTTCAAGGGCTGTGTGTGGTTTTTAATTGTGATACAAACATGTGACATACACGTGAATAGATCACAAAGCCACTATGTTATTAAAATGAGCCACATTTACATTGAGGGAGGTCTTTCTCCCCCTTCCTGCCTCCACCCTATCATAATACTGTGACAGTGAAGAGAAGAGGCTTTAAAACGGGGGCTGTACATTAAGCTCCCGTAAGAGTGGCAGCGTTATTTGCAGAGTGATTTTGAGGAACTAAAATGAATAGTGAGATTTGTAGGGGAATTGATTTCTGTACCTTAAATACTGCTGAGAAGGGATAATATTTGTCTCCAGAGTGAGCATAGGAGACCAGGGCAAAAGGGGAAAAAATGATTACATCACCCCCTCCGCATTCTGATATGTGGCCTCTTTTCTTTTTGAAGAAGGAGCATCTTACCTTGCCCAGTTCTGTTTGATAGTAACATTTAAATTCTCATGACTACTGTTGATAATTATGTTGCTTATTTCTGCCATTAATACACATCTTCCTTCCTATTGAGAATTGTCATTGTCGTTCCATGAAATCCCTTTGGTAGAGGAGGAGGTTTTTCTCTTTTGCCCCCCCCCCCCGTTGTGCTTTCTAATGTGGTACATTTGTGACAGTGTTTAAGTTCTGAGTTTTCAGTGAATTACGTAGGACTGAAACTAAATATCCAGAGTTCTTGATCCTTGCTGCTTATAATATATACAGGAGGCATTTAAAATAGACTTTCAGTATACCATTCTGATGCCTTTGCAAGATTTTTAAACCAAGGAACGACCTATATACCCAGATGCACTGGGGGGGGGGGGGGAAAAAAAAAAAACCTACGTGCTGCAGCGTATCAGCTTTTGTCAACCTGCCAACAGTGGAGCATACCATGCTGCAAGAAGTCATAAAAAAGGAATTAGAAACCTCACTGCTAGAAGAGAACAGTCAAATTAAACACCTTTTTGAAAGGAAGAGCATGCAGACATTGCAATTCTGTTAAATGTCCGTCCTTAGTGAGGTCGGGATTGTGTTAAGGCTGGTATAGAAGGGAAATGATGAAGCAGGAGTGGTCTGGTGACATTTTTCTGACTTGATTGGCTGGGGTGTGTGATGTAATAGGTTACAGTGCAGCCCCTTATAGGTTTTAAAATGAATTCCAAGACACCATTACAAAGAAAGCCGGACTCTTTTCTTATAACTGAGCTCAGCCAAGGAAACTCTTGCACAAATGTACAACACTGTTTGGAATATGGAAGACCTGGATATAGAATATGCTAAGACAGATATAAATTGTGGCACAGACTTGATGTTTTATATAGAAATGGATCCACCAGGTAATACTGCGGTATTATTATAGAGAGCTAGTTAATTTTGTGGGGTTTAAAATTTTTGACAGCTGCTGTAGCATATTCTCTGTAGGTTTCTGCTCTTATTAAATCGTTCTCGGATGGCAATTAGTTTGATCAGAGCTGAAAATTAAACAAATTGTTTGACCTCCTGTGGAAGCAAGCAGAGCAGCCTGTGTGTGGTACATGCTTATTCTTACTTGAATGGATATGAATTGAATTCCAGGTTGTCACTGGTGTCTTTTGTTACTTGATTTGGGTTAGATTGTTGCATATTGTTCCTATAATTAAAATGATGTACTCTTTGTGCCGCTTTTGTCTGTTGACAGTGGATGAGAACTGTGTGGTACTTTGCAGTGATAACACTTGGTACTTTAGAAAGCATGTAGAATGTAGCAGTGATTGCAACTCAGTTCTTGATGACCTGAAACTATTCTGTATTCCAAATCAGATGTTCAGGCTTTGCTTGTTCTTCCTTACATTAACATACTATAATGAAAAAAGAAGTTGGCTTTCTAATGTTTAATCCTTAATTTTTGTAAAATACTCCTGAGACACCTGAAATCATTTTTGCATAAATTAAAGTGGTAGCATGGTTCTTTCAAACTTAGAATTTAGCTAAAAGTCCTAGATTTATCTTGTGTTCTAAATTGTTTTATTCCAATATTAGCCCTGCCCCCAATTAAGGAAGTAAAAAACAAATCAAAATGTTGCAGTCTCTTATTTTATACCAGTTGGTACACATATATTGATTTGACATTGAGGAAGGGGGGGATAGGATATTTTTAATCACTCTTGGCATATAGAGCACAATTTAGCCAACAGAATATTAGCATTAATAAGGAGATTTAGGTCACAGATGGGTTTCTTAAAGTGGATTTTGGCAGAAAACTACCTGAAATACTAAGATCAGAGAAACCCAGTTCTCCCTCTGAAACCATATTGCTGTAGGTGAGCTTTGGTATTACCGCAGCAGCGTTTGTGGAGGACAGAGTTGGAATATGTCTTTTATAATTGAATAAGAAGAGGAAATGACAGCCAACCCATGTGATTCCTCTTGCTCATATGTTCATGGTTTCTTACTTCAGATGCATTTGACTAGGCATGAAACTTACAAGCATCTAGAAGTAGAAAATGGCATGACTCTGGATTTACTTTAAAATTCATTCACATGGCCACTCCAATTTAAGCTGAGTTCCTCTCTCAAACTCTGTCTCTCTCTGTCTTTGTCTCTTTTTTCCCTTTCAATTTCTTTTTCTTTTGTTTTGAGCCATAATCTGAAAAATTTCTTCAGTTTTTTTAAAGACAAACTTTTTCATGGTATCAAGGAATTATGACTTAGTGCGTGCTCTATATCACAATTATCCTTATTCCTTCCTTTATATAGAAAGTTATTCATCTGAAGAAATTTTGGTCTAATTTAAAATGTTCAGTTGTAGTTGGGATTGCAAATAATTTTTTTCTTTCTCCTTAATCTGTAGCACTGCCTCCTAAACCACCAAAACCCACTACTGTAGCCAACAACGGTATGAATAACAATATGTCCTTACAAGATGCTGAATGGTACTGGGGAGATATCTCGAGGTAAGGTGACAGAAATGGGTAGTTGACACTAGATATAGTTTTAGATTGAGAGGAAAAAAAGGGGGAGGGGGACCAGCTTTGCTAAGTTCCATTTTTAGGATATCATCCAACATAAGCATGAAGCATAGTTGGTTCCATTCCAAAGACTACCAAAAAAAGTCCCTGAGCGCTGGAGAACTATGGGTGCTGGATGCCACAGGAAATTAAATACCCGGGAAGTTTTATTATTGAGCTCTAAGAATTAATGTTTTTGTCTTAAAATGCCTTTTTATTTTCCTCCCCCCTTAGCTTTTTTTTTTTGAAGGGGAGTGAGGGGCTGGGGGAAAAGCCTTATAGGGATAATTGCTTTTTGTGCTGAGTTTTTAGAGCACTGAAAGTGTTTGGTTAACAAATAAAAACTGTGCACCACAGATATACCAGCTGTGAAAGTGGGTACATCTTCCTTTTGGGTGGGGGAGGGGTAACTGCCATGCACCTGTTTACAGTGAGACTGGAACTTCTACACGAAGAAAGGATGCATTACTTAGCTTTGAAAATATAATTAATAAATGTAAGTCCAGAGTCACTAAATCCCAGAGGTGAGCATTGTCTTTTCTTTTCCCTTTAGGGAAGAAGTGAATGAAAAACTTCGAGATACAGCAGATGGGACGTTTTTGGTACGCGATGCCTCTACTAAAATGCATGGTGATTATACTCTTACACTAAGGTAAGTTGGGAGGTAGCTGCAGTTGGGGTATTCGGATGGCCCTCAAGACACACCTTTTTATCAGGAAATTATGATGCTATTATTTCTACATTATATTTACAGGAAAGGAGGAAATAATAAATTAATCAAAATATTTCACCGAGATGGGAAATATGGCTTCTCTGACCCATTAACTTTCAACTCTGTGGTTGAACTAATAAACCACTACCGGAATGAATCTCTAGCTCAGTATAATCCCAAGCTGGATGTGAAACTGCTTTATCCAGTATCCAAATACCAACAGGTAATCAAGACTGAAATAGTCATGTTATTATGGCTTTTAAACAAGATCCTTTCAATACTTAGAAAAACTGTGAAGCAGATGACTTACATGTAATCATGTTTGAAAAATGTTATACTAGTGACCATAAAATTATAATTTTATCATTGCTAAGTACAGTACTTAATATTTCCTATGTAGGATATTTTGTTAAATAAGTATAATTTGATTAAATGCCTTACACACTGAATTTCTCTCTTTCCCCCAATCTCAAATCCTTCTAGGATCAAGTTGTCAAAGAAGATAATATTGAAGCTGTAGGGAAGAAATTACATGAATATAACACTCAATTCCAAGAAAAAAGTAGAGAATATGATAGATTATATGAAGATTATACCCGGACTTCCCAGGTGAGTTTTCTGTGAAAATCCTGTTAAAAGTTCAGAATTCCTAGTTATTAGAACCTAATACATATAACACGTACCCTCAAAAAACAGATTAAAAATACTTGCGTTTTTGTGAATGAAATGGGAAAGGGGGCATCTGTTTGTGAATCATTATTGATTGTTGGGTCATAGCATCTCTCCATCTTTTAAATGAGACCTCCCAGTGTCACAATAATAAATGAAGTTCACATAATGAATGAAGACGTTGCTGTGACTTTTAAGTTGATTTGGTATAAGCCCTGAGTATAGAATGCTTTTTAGATTGGAAGCTAATAATAACTGAAAGTTCCACAGACTTGTCTAATCTCTGAAGTGGTGATTTAACCATTTATGCACTCTGCTGTGAAAAGCAGAGGCTACGTTGACGTCAGTTTATTTCCGGAGACTTAATTCTCTCTAGCCCATCATGTATCTGGGGCCACCAGAGGGAGTAGATGATGATGACATGGATACTGATAAAGTGGAACAGCTTTTTAACGAGGTGATAACTGTAGGAAATTTTCAAGCAGTCATTTTCCGTGGACTGGGAAAATTCTCCTAAGGAATTATGTGCTTTGGCAATATTATTTTAATGGATTTTATGAATTACTCTCTCACCTTTCTAACAATACTTAAATGCTAGTAATAATGCAGACCAAATGTCCCAGTAGTGTCTTCCAGTAAGAAATTGTCCTGTGTAAAGTATGACATTGTCATATAAAATTGTGTTTCAGGAAATCCAAATGAAAAGAACAGCTATTGAAGCATTTAATGAAACCATAAAAATATTTGAAGAACAGTGCCAAACCCAAGAGCGGTACAGCAAAGAATATATTGAAAAGTTTAAACGTGAAGGCAATGAGAAAGAAATACAAAGGTTGGTAAGCCATGAGTATTTCTGTTGTCCTTGTGCTAGAGAGGGCTAAAATCCTCTAAAACCGTTTAATCTCATGGTCTGTACCTGGAGTAATTAAAATATGACAGGAAAAGAAACATTCTTTCCCTGAGGAAAACTGCTGGGAAGTCATAGTGAAACTTTCCATAAACTTTGGGAAACCTTCATGATGCACCCAGGTAATTACAGATGCATTTCTCTTGCCTATAGGATAATGCATAATTATGAAAAGTTAAAGTCACGAATCAGTGAAATTGTTGACAGTAGAAGAAGACTGGAGGAAGATTTGAAGAAGCAGGCAGCTGAGTATCGAGAGATTGACAAACGTATGAACAGCATTAAACCAGACCTCATCCAACTGAGAAAGACAAGAGACCAATACTTGATGTATGTATTTGACCTGGAACTTACTGTAAGGGAATCAGTGGTAATTGCTACAGTTGTAGTTGAGTTACTAATGCATTTTCTTCTTAAAATTATTTTTTTAGGTGGTTGACTCAGAAAGGTGTTCGGCAGAAGAAGTTGAACGAGTGGCTGGGCAATGAAAACACTGAAGAGTAAGTAGTTACTGAAGATGGGAGATAGCAAGAGAGTGTTCTCATTCTAGGAAAACACAGGATTTGCTTTGTTTTCAGAACAAGCAAGAATATTTACTAAGTTTAGAACACTTAACAGGAGAAAATGTATAAACTCAGTCTCATTATCCAGTATTCTTAAAAAAGAAAGGTTAAACAAGACCAGGAGTTATTTTTACCCATCCTGGTGTCAGATGGCACTCTTTGCCCATTGTGATGTCCCTGAACATCTGAAAAACCCCAAAATATTTTTGGAACAGTCAGGGAAAAAAAGTTATGTTTAGTATACTTTGAAGTTGTGAAGCATATCCTTTGTTTGAATTAATTGAAAATTGACATGCCTTTTAGTTGATCAATTTTCTGTTCTAAACTGGATAAGCAAGGCTGTTAATATCATCCTTCTGCCCAGGTACCTAAGTGAAAATAGAAATAGGATAATTTATTGCTAATTCTTTTTCCAGGGAGGTTACATTGAATGCTAAACACAATGAGTGGAAAACTCGGGTCAGAGATGCTGAGTTGTAGTCAAGACACATGATTGCTGGCCTGGCTTGCTCAGCAGGAGAGGGCCAGGAACTGGGAAGAAATGACCAGAAGGCCTTCGGCAGGGAGGCAATGGGGTTGCCTGTTTGTTTCCATGCTCTTCTCTGAGTAGCTTTCTCTCCTGCCTACTTAGCCAATATTCGCTGGTGGAAGATGATGAGGATTTGCCCCACCATGATGAGAAGACCTGGAACGTGGGAAGCAGCAACCGGAACAAAGCTGAGAACCTATTGCGAGGGAAGCGGGATGGCACTTTTCTTGTTCGTGAGAGCAGTAAACAGGGCTGCTACGCCTGCTCTGTGGTGTACGTACCTCCAGCACACTTCTCTTTTCTTTCTTTTTTTTTTCTATTTTTGAGATCTACTGTGGACCAGTTATCATTTCTTCAGCATTGGAGAATGAGAGTTTGAAACTGATCTAGTCTTTAAGAATCATATAGTAGTTCAACGTTAATGTCATAGAGGAGATAAAGTACCTCCTCGGAAACCCAGGGGGAGGGGTCACTATGAGTCGGGGCCGACACGACAGCACATAACAACAATGTCATCCTAAAGCTCTAGGCAGGATTATCTGTTAATAAGGTCTAGCAGAAAGAAAGCTGCTGTTTATTTGGAAAACTGAGGTTTGGATCTCAATTCAGCTACTAGTTCATTATGGGAAATCTTTAAGTCTTTTTGTTTTCTCCCTCTCATTTTTAAAATGAGAATCCCAATGCTTGCCTTTTTTTTTGCCTCCCAAGGCCACGCTGGATAGAATCTGAGGTTATTCAGGTGAGAGGACCACCCACAGGTTAAATACCTACCAAGAACAGGTCAAAACATCAGAGAAAGGATACTGTGATTGGTATACTGCAGATAAGATTGGCCCACCCAAGAAAAGACACATTTTTGTTACGTGTTGTATTTTCTTTTTATTAATAGTTTGGGAGCGACTTTGAAAAGTGAGTTATAGAGCACTAACAGTACCATTTGAGAAAGTAAATGTCCTCTATCCTCAGGAAAGGTTCTAAGAGTATATCATACTAGCTCCATTTAATCAGATAAATATTTCTAGAGGAAAGAAGGAATAAGAAGAACTTTGAAAAAGGACATGGAGGTAGGAGACAATGTGAAGATGGAGAGTCCCACAGACAGTCTAGAGATAGCTGAAAGAAGGAGCCTTCCTGGTAACTTAGTGATGGCAGAGCTGCTGGCCTTGGAGGAGCAGCGATAGAGTACCTTTAGTGATTGGAAGCTACTGTTTGCTGCATGTTTACTGCATACCAGGCATTCTGTCATGCACATTGCATACATGACCTCCTTTCAGAAGAATTCCTGAATTTCAGGAACAGAATTCCTGTTGCACACAGCTTCTGATTGTCCTCCATTTAAACTATTTTAAGGTGAGAAGTCCGTGGCGCAGTGACGTTGGGTTACCTACCAAGTCACTCAGTAAGGAAGTGACAGAGCCAGATGTCCAACAGTTAACCTAGGACTGTTTCCCCAAGTAGAGAAGGCCTGCATAGCATGCTTTTTCATGATGACTTTATTAAACATATTTTGTGGAATGATAGAAGTGTCCTGGACAAACTCAAGAGGTAATTTTTGTTTTCTCGTTCCTCTAGGGTGGATGGCGAGGTAAAGCACTGTGTCATAAACAAGACGGCGACGGGGTATGGCTTTGCGGAGCCCTATAACTTGTACAGCTCCCTGAAAGAACTGGTGCTACATTACCAACACACGTCCCTCGTGCAGCACAATGACTCCCTCAATGTCACACTAGCCTACCCAGTATATGCACAGCAGAGGCGATGAAGTGCTGACATTCGGATCCTGCTCCTGAAGCTCAACCACCCTGAGGCCTCTGGAAAGCAAAGGGCTCCTCTCCAGCCTGACCTGTGAATTGAGCTGCAGACACAAAGCCCACTGTCTTCGGATAGGACTAGAGCTTTCTTCGACAAAAAAGCAGTAGGGGAAGACACACAGCCTAGTGCTGAGTGACCATACATTTCTGATCTGGAGTGGTTAGCCTTCCTTTCTTTCCTTTTTTTTTTTTTAATTTTTATTTAAAGCCACAACAACTCACAACACAAAGAATAAAAGAAATACAAAAATCTCTGCGTGCAGGGACAAAGAGGCCTTTAACCATGGTGCTTGTTAATGCTTTCTGAAGCTTTACCAGCTACAAGTTGGGACTTTGTAAACCGAAGGGTAGATGGGGCTCAGGAGCCCTGTGACCTGAGAAGGCTCGGTCTAGCCTGGTTCAGCCTGGGTGTGCTGCTGCTGCTGCGTCCAGCAGCCCCAGGCACGTCGCACTGTGGATTATTTCATTTTCTAACAAATGAACGAAATGTAGCAGAAAGGCACTTCTACACCTAAGGGACGCTTTGGGAGAATGACAGTTCATGAACATTCAGAGGAAATTCTGTCCTAGCAAAGTGCCAGAAAGTGTTTTGTTTAAACTTTACAAAATGACAAAAACAACAACCCACCAACAGAAAAAGTGAACTTGGAAAACAGGACTTAAAAGTGACATTCAGTATATTAAATATGTACATATTATTGGATGACTAACTATCAAATAGATGGATTTGTATTAATACCAAATAGCTTCTGTTTTCTTTTGCTGAAGGCTAAATTCACAGCGCTATGCAATTCTGAATTTTCATTAAGCTGTTATCTCAGTTTTAAATGTACCTTCAGAATAAGCTTCCCCACCCTAATTTTTGTTGCTTGAAAATACTGTTGTCCCTTATTTTTGTTAATATCCATTTTGTTATTCTTTTCTTTTTTTTTTTCAAGAAGAAATGTACAGGATGCCAGTAAACAAATGGCTTCAGAATTAAAACTATGAAATATTTTACAGTTTTTCTTGTACAGAGTACTTGGCTGTTAGCCCAAGGTTAAAAAGTTCGTAACAGATTTTTGGACTAAATGTTTTGTTGGGCAGTGCCTGATAAGCTTCAAAGCTGCTTTATTCAATAAAAAGAAAAAGATATATGAATATGACAAAGAATCGCTGAGTCCAACAATATTGTTTCAAGACTCTTAAAATACGGTACCTGGCAATGTTTATTTCATAAAGAATTGTGAACTTCTTGAATCTGGGGAGGGGGGGATGTAACAAAAGGATGGGGCAGGTGGGGCAACGGGAAGGGTGGGGAGGTGGTTTGCACTTTTCTCGTGATTACAGAGAAGTAGCTACCTGCGAAGTGAAGTCTTTTCCCACTTTATTAGTTATTATCAATTAATGACTATTACAAATCTACTGTAACTCTCATAACATAATCCAGCTGGTCAGATATTTCAGATCTTAGGAAGGAGGTTTTTAAGTTTGTCTTTGGGTTCCTGGAATAGGGCTCATCTTGACTTAGACCACTGGTTTCAAGGTAGAACCTGTGCAGTTAAAAATGTCTGTCTTTCTTTAACATTAGATTGTCCACTACAGACAACATGCCTTTTAGAAAAAGCATGATCTGAAAAAGATATATTTTTACTTGGATATTTGTAATTTTTCTATCTATTCAGCTTAGAACATAAAAAGTAGGTATTATTTCATTATTGTCACTGCTCTGGGCCAAATGGAGCTTGTTAAAAGTCACAGCCATTTCAGGAATCCCAAATAAACTCTATGTGTTATGCTTCCCTATGGGGAAAGGAAGGGATTGTTAGTTTTCTTTCCAATTTAGGGAGACTGCAAAGTGTCTCTCCCTGACTTACATATACAAAAGCTGTTACATTCAGTAGGAATTGTACACGTATTGCAAGGAATAAAGGCTAATTAATTATAATCATGGTCACTATTTCCCTGATCCATTAAAGTGGAATCTTGCAATTTCAGTTGTCCTTTCTTAATATTAGACCGACGCACCTCAGTTTTACTTCTCTTCCCTTCAAACATTGAGGTGATATTTTGTTTTGTTTTAATGTTGATCCTTTGAAAATTCTTTTTAAAGAATCAGTCTATCAGCTGACTTAATCATCTGTAGAATGTATTTTTTTTCCCTCTGAACATGAAGCTACTCAAGAGCAAACTTCAGTCTTACAGCCAGACTGTCAGCCCTTAAACTTGACTGAACTGATCCAACCATCTCCCTCTTATCTCCAGACAATACGATTTCCCTGGTTTTAGTCTGTGAGTGTCTTTGCTTTAAAACTTCTGGTTTCACACAGAAGTCTTAACAATTAGTTAATAGTAGTTTGTAAACTAGTTCTTGTTTGTTTTGGTAGCACATCCATGTATGCTATTAAATACATAATTTTTATTTAATTTCTGACGTACAAGATTTGAGTTCAGATGTTTCATTAGAAGCTACAGCTTTGTTAATGTTTTTGCTTAAACACTCTTAGCAAGATGGTAAGATATTTAGGCATTTGCTTTATTTTTGCATCTCATAAGCATATATGCAGTAGATTTTTCATGAAATAGCAAGGCAGGATCCATCCTTCATATCACAGTGAGTTGCACCATCTCTGCCAAATGCTGTTTTGATTGTAGCGGAACATGCCCACCACATTTGTCCTTGATGTTTAACCAGCCAAGTTCTTTGAGTTTAATGAGACTGTCATCTTGTAACATTGTCTTGGTGGCTTATGAGTATCAATGGGTACAGGAGAAGCACTCTTGATCCATGATTTTATTCATGCATCCATTTTCTCCACCCATTGTGGTGTCCTAAAGATAAAAGAAGCTGAGCTTCAGAAAGGCTGTGACAGGGCTGTGGAATTGGGACCCTTGGGACTTCCTGTTCAGTATGCAACAGCAAGATTATAACCATGTGAAAAGGCAAAAAGCATGTGTTTGCAACATCTGACACTTCACAGCCCTTGAATATCTGTATATATGTATATGTGCATGGACTGTTTCCAGTACACCTTTCAACCAAAACAGATCCACAGTCGTTGAGTTCAAGTACATAAAAGCAAATGTACACAAAAACAATTCTTGTATATGTGTATGGGTTGTTTTTTCTTTAAGATTGCTTTGTTTTGTCAGTTTTGCTTTGTACCAAGGTGAAATTTGTTTGCAGGTGAAGTGAGAAGTTCATAATTCTTTGGCTTTTTTCTGTTTTTAAAAGTTACTCCTTTTGGGGGCCTGGTCTGGATGACTCATGCCTAACGGGGAAATACTTGTCTTTGGTGTGTTGAGTCAAAATGTGTCTGTGAGCTGTCACTGTGGGGAATGAATTGCTTTGTCATATAGCTGGTTATGAACTAGTAACACGTTTGGGAAGTCCTACTGATGTTCCTTATTGGGAGAAAAATTCTGCTGGTTTTAACAACTGTGCTTTTGCTATGTATGGTGTCCAAGTCAGTTGGAAAGCAGACCCTCAGAACTGTTTTGAGTTCAAGGTCCTCTAAGAAAGGGGCAGTTGAAAGCACAATGCCTCACATGGGACAAAGTTCCAAAATGCCAAATTCTTATTTTTTAAAAATCTAGTTATATAAAATAGTACTAGTATGGGTAGAGTGGGAACAGAATTGGGTTAATTCAACTTACCATGAAACTTGTCACCATGAGATAGCATTAGCTGCCCACGATGCTGCTATTTCCAAAACAAAACAAAACAAAACAAAAAAACTCATTTATATGTGTGTATTTTTTAAAGCTACTATCTGTTCAATGTTTTTACAAATCTGTTTATATGACATTGTTAAAGTTGGTCTTTTGACGAGAGGGAGGATGTCATGGTCAGTTGTAATTTTGCCTTTACAAGGCAACTGGGGTGGGGGGTGGGGGGAGTGTGCCTCCTTGACATTTTGTTCAAACTGTAGATTCAATGGAGCTATGTCTTGTTTTAAGTTGCTTTAATGCATTGTATTAAGTCTTCAAACAGAATAAAGGTTGTTTTGAAACTTAAGCTTTGGGTTGAAATTTCAGTTGTCACCTAGGAAATATTTCCAAAGCAGCTCTTTTGGTTAATAAATGTTGGCTGCTGTTTCTGTTATCCCTCACCCATTCCCTTTCATTCTATGATCATGTTATCTCATTTGGTAAAGTGAGGACATGAACAGTGGCCACATGAATGATACCTTTCAGCGTTGTGTACCTAAATTCAGTATATCCTTAGTGTTAGCTGCCAGATCTTGGCAATCCCGTGTATGAAGTGATCAGACCATTGTGATCCATAGAGTTACCATTGGCTGTTTTTTTCAGAAATGGATTGCCAAGCCCCCTTCCTAGTGTGTCTTATTCTGGAAGCTGTGCTGAAACCTATTTAGCATCACAACAACACAAAATCCTCCACTGACAGGTAGGTGGTGGCTGCACATTGGCTAAGAATTGAACCCAGGTCTCAACATGTAAGATGAGAATTCTACCACTGAGCCACCACTGCCCCTGCACATCCTTATGCCATTTCTAGGCATGTTCCTGCTATAAGAAAACAAGAATGTCCACTGCCCCTTAGCCCTTCCCCTCCCAACCCCACATCTGCAAACCTTCAGACTGATGCTCTAGAAACTGATTTATGTGGTTTCCAGTTATGTCTTTGCAATACATTCTACACACACACATTGTTGGAACAGTATGAGGTGTTGGGCAGCATGGAGAGGTATAACAGTGCTGTGCACAAGGAGCTGAGGATACACTCCAGATACAGGGTTCACATGTACCATCTGGGCAAGATGCACAGTTATTACTGTGATACGACTTGCACTTTTGTTTTTATTAATGAGCATATGACAATGCCACCTTCCCTGTACATTTCATTTCACATGTATGCAAAGTGAAGGCCCTAGACAGGAAGAAGACATGGTCCATAATAGAGATAAGAGGGGCATGCAAGTGATTTGTACGGTAGTGACAGCAGTAATGTTTGCTAAATGTGGCAGCTGCTGCCTGTTTGCTCTCAGATTCATTTCCTGCTTAACCTTTGTTGTTTTATGTATACAGGGAATTGTACATACCTCTAAGGGACTCTGGTGGTGCAGTGGTTAGGGCATTCAGCTGCTAACCAAAATGTCAGTGGTTCAAACCCACCAGCCACTCTGCAGGAGAAAGATGAGGCAGTCTGCTTCCATAATGATGTATAGCCTTGGAAACCCTACGGGGCAGCAGTGAGTCATAATTGACTCAATGACAGTGGATATACACACCTCTTCTAGGTGATGAGCCCCCTCCATAGCTGCAGCTCCTACCAGACAGACCATCTGACCATTGTCTGAACAACCTCACTATGCTCTACATCTCTATAGAATGCTCTGGCAACATTTCTTCCTTTCATTTTTACTCTAGCCCTTTCTTCCTTTCATTTTTACTCTAGGAAGTAATAGCAGCTTTTGGCTGTTGCTAAACCTCTGGTTTCCTTTATCACCCCCTGCTTGGTTTCTGAGCCCTTACATCACATGAGCAACCAATTCCTTTCATTAAATTATCTCTGCAGGAGCTAATTTCTTTTTTTTTTTTTTTTTTTGCTGCCTGAACTTGGAGTGATATACTACATGATTAGTATCCAACTCTCTATATGCTTTGCCTTATTTAATCATTCCACAAGTATATGCGTTAGAAGATATTATTCCCATTCAACAGATGAGAAAACTGAAATACAGAAGTTAAATGACATGTTCAAGGTCATGCAGCAATTAGAGTACAGAATAGAGTGCCTAGGCGGTCTGATTCAAGTTGGAATTCTTGACTCTTGTGCTATAATGAGACTGCTTTCTGATGGAACATGTACTAGGGAGTTGAAAGAAAAGTCTACCAGCAACTTCTCCTGATGTAGATTTAACAGTGTGGACAATGCACAGATGGCCAATGATGAAAGGCAGGAAATGGTATGGTTTTTCTTTAGACTGGAAGCTCTGGTGGTGTAGTGCCTACAGCAT